CCTAAAATATTAACTTAAATCTCACATTTGAGCATTCCTGCAGTTTTTAGCAAGATTCACAGAATTGGGTTGTGTTTTATGCTTTTAGCTCTTTTTGTCATGGTCTCTGTTTATTGTTACCTTGGTTTTATTCTAGTGTTTCTGTTTCCTTGTGTGTACCTGCCTCTGTGTTCCCTCCCCAGGTGTTTCAAATCAGTCCCTCATTTACTCATCTTTATATTCTTTGTCTTGTCTTCATTGTGCTGTTTCCCTTCAGCCAGTGTGGTGTCCTTGTTTTCCTCATGGTGTTTTTTTTTTCTTCCTGAGAATAATTATGTAAGTTTTTGCTGCCACGACAGCCTTCTTTTGTTTAATAAATTCTTTTTCTTTCCTGAGCTCTGGATGTTTGCCTGTTCCCTGGGTCGATCCTACCTGTAACCTCACATGTTTTGTGTTTTAAAAAAAAGAAGTTATCAAAACTAAACTGCTTGAGCTACATCTGTATTTAATTTTGTTGAAGAGATTTGGATCTAAATGAGATTTTTTTGTAATGAAAAGTGCTACAAATAAATCAGGTATTCTTATTCTTATTATTATTATTGTTATTTATTACACATCTGAAGACCTCATCAGGCTCTTGTGACAATCATGCATAATTTCTCAGATTTTTTGGATGCCACAGTGAGGTTGTCATAGTGTGTGAATGAGGCCTAAAGTGTTATGAATAAAAAATTAGATTCCTTTAATTTTGAAGTACCGTTCTACATCAAGGTCTGAGCAGTTTACCATCTGTTTGAGTACAAAATGAGTAAAAATCCTGAGCTAGGTCAACTACAGTACACATGCATTTAGAAGAAAAAGCCAAACTTGCATGAATCCTTTTAAAATATTAAGGAAAACACTGATCATAATTACACTAAAGTAACATTTCATGAGGGAAAAAAATCAAAACATTTTGACAGAATCTTGCTAAAAGCAAAGTGCAAGAATCAACTCCAAATCAAAAACACAAACCAATTTCCCACATGATGCTGTTTTCATTTGAAACGTCTCTTTTAAACTTAATTTTATGCATGTTTTCATGCGTGCTAACATGCACACAATAAAAACTGTAGCCTCGAATCAGAGCTGCTTAAGTCCAATGGGAGATTGTTGTTTTGAATATTTCATATCTGGATGTGCAAAAAGCCAAGTAGACGTCAAGCTGCGGAGCGGTCACACCTCTCAGCTTTTGTTACTCTCGTCTTGCTTCCCAAGCTAACATCAAACTGGTCTCAAACCAGACAGAAGCCTCGACTTGACTTCAAAACACGCTCTGTCAGCCACGGCGATTAGTGACATTTCAGAGAAAAACATCCTCAACGTATAATTGGAGAGCAGTGAAAACTAATTGAGGCTGTCAGAGATAAAAAAAAAAAAGTGACCACTGGGACATGTGACATAAAATGTGAAGTGAAATCATTTGTAAAGCTTCAGCAGCTCTCTGCAAAAGGCAGTAGTTAAGACAAATACAAAATATTAAACAGATGTGTTATTACCTCTTTTTACATGTGTGTGATATAGTGTTTAATTTCTAATGAATGAAAAGTCGTCTGATTGTTGTTCATCATTGAGCAGCCACAGCTAATCATCAATTACCTTTTCTTTTTCAAAGTGACCCAAGAAATGACACCTGGATGCAAAGTGACAGAAGGTAATTAACTAAGCAGATCATTACACATTTTACTGTTGCCTCAGGACCTATGAAAAATATATAATGCAAATTAACTTTTCACTCATGCGGCAGCCTTTTGACAATTAAAATCAGTATTCAAAAAGGTTAGGAGTTTAATACTCCACATGCTTTTGAAGGCTGAGAAATTTCTGCAGCATACTAATTGACTTTGCACCGTCTGTTTAGGAGCCTTTAGTCAATGTATTTTCTCAATTAACCTTTTTTTTCACGGTCAACCTAACGTATTTTAAGCGGCCATGCCTGCAGAGTTTACATTTTGTTAAACAGTATACGCTGTATATTTATTGCTGCCTATTAACTAAGAAAATTAGCTTAGTAATTTTTGTTAACTTTTATTTTTCTGTGAAAATACTGAGAGCTTAATGAGTTTGCTGCAGGTTTGTTGAAGAAATCTTAACTAATAAAATGAGCAAAGCGGAACTAAAATCAGGAAAACTGTTGAAAAAGCTACCATTTGCAACATGGTAGCTAAAAGCTATAAATGGTAAATCTGCAGCTAAAATAATAAAAATACAGACAAATAATACAATAACATAAAAGTAAAACAGCTGCTAAAAGCTAAGAAAGGAGACAACATAAAAGCTATAGAAATAGCACAACTGTTACTTAAAGTTTAAATAAGAAAAACTAAATAGAATTTAAGAAAAGCAAAAGATAAGCTAAAAGCAAATCTGCAGATGAAAGCTAAAAATAGCAGAACAGTAGCTAAAAGCACAAAATAGCACAATGGAGGTTCAATGCTAAAAACAGCTAAACCATATATCTTAGATAAAATTAGCCAAACCATTGCTCCAAACAAAACAATATTTATATAAATAGTAAAACAGTAGCTAAAGGCTAGAACCATATAAAGACAAAATAGAGCAATTATGCTGAAGATTTAAGGGAACAATTTCTTAAACTTAAATAAAAAATGTAGCAATTTTAAAAGTCTTTTGAATCCTTTTCACAATCAAACCAAACATTTTGATTTTGAGTATGACAGGTTAAAATAGCACAAAGTATGCAGAAAGAGTTCAATGTCTAAAACGTACAGAAGAAACCATAAACAAGAAAACAATAGAGTATTATTAATAATAATAATAATAAAATTAGACATGCATCTTTATTACAATTTTGGTGAATTTAGCACATTTTAGGTGCACAAATCCAATAGAACGGAGCAAAAATCAAACAAAATGCCTCCCTTTCATGCAGGGAATAGAGTACGTAAAGCAGACTGACTGTGATCATATTCATACAGGCACAGAACTAAACAAATATAAGCTGCCTTTACTCACTAACACCACCTTATGTGCTTTAGCTTTTGTTGTTGGTTTGTGTCTGTCGAGTGGGATTTAGACCCATCATGGAGCGCCGGTTGCTGCTGAGAGCTGATCAAAGAACAAAAGCTTTTTATTGAATCGACCTGAACAACCATTTGCAATGAAATATTATCTGACTGTCTGAGAAGGTAGGAAAGATCAACATGAATTCATATCATGAACTCCCAACGCCTCTCGAGTGTTACAGTAACTCCTGAGAACTTTGACATCTAGTGACAATAATGGCACTTGTTTTTCACTGAACTCCTGTTGTGAAATGAAGCCATTTGATAGATCTGTAATTTTAATTTTATGGCATTTTTCTCCAAATAGATGATAAATCCTTATGTAACAACACAATTATATTTGTAGGCTTTTTGTACTGTTTTATCCCCACTTACAGTATTTGATGTAGCTGTTGGTGAGTTAAAAAAGATAATTGTTTTTCCACTCACATAGGTTCGGTCTTTTTTCTTTTGAAAACCAGGTCATGCTAAGAATTACGACCAACCTCTTATTGTAGCAGCATGAAAATCTCATATTTATAGTGCTGCCATTTTTAAAACGTTGACTTATTCAGAAACTGTGTTTGCTTTTCTGAATTGCTGTCAGAAATTTGAAAAGAATCACGCCTGAGAACCGGATTTAACCAAGATTTATTTGGGCAGGTTTAGACAGACTGAGCGCCACATCAACAAAAATGAATTGAGGCTTTCCAGGAGCTGCTTCTTCACATTATTTTCCCATCTTAAAGTTTATGCCTTGGTCAAATAATTGTGCCGACTTTTAAACAGATTTTTCCCTTCCGACCATCTTAAAGACGCTCTGATTATGGTGATGGCTCTAAAGATAACCTTATCGGGACGGCTCTGACCACAAATCAAGGATATAACATGTTGGATTGTCTTGGCTCGATCGTGTGTGGCGTTCCCCGAGGACGAACAAGCATGCAGCCTGTTGAATGTGACGTTTAGCCAATCAGAAAGCGAGGTGATGGAAATCCAAAATGCAGAAGACAAAACAGCTGCCATGAAGAACCAGAAAGTCTAGTGGACGTCGAGACGTCTTTTTGTTTTTCTTTCTGTTAAAAACAGTCCACAAGCTATCACCATTGCCTCTTCCTCATCAGCCATGTTTATTTACTCTGAACTCACGTTTGATCTTGAGAGATTTCCCGTCTGACATCTGAACGTTGGTGAGTGAAACCAGTTTGTGTGTGGCATCTCCAGAAAATAAAATATTGGCCTGTCCAACACATCCCCTCAACCAAAGTTTGGCAAACAAAACCAATACCCAACAAATTACTCATAACTACTGAACCAAATTTAGGTTCCATATAACCAAAAATAGCCAAACTACAACCCACCCAACTCACAAATAAGCCAAGAGGAAAAACTACTCCAAACAAACTATCAACATTCATTTAAGTACAACAAACCAATAAGTTACCTGGTGGAGCACTGATTATATCCCTGAACCCAGGTTCTTTCCATTACTCAAGGCCCACCTCTGTTTGCAGGAGAAACTGCCCCTGCCAATCAGAGGAGGAGCTGTGACAGTAGTGTGTTGTGTTTGCTGTGTGGCCATACTCCACACTCCACTTGTGTCATTTAGGGTCTCTCAGGTTTTAAAAGCTGACCAGTAATTTTAAAATCTTGCCATGTGAAGCAGATACGTACAAGATGCCATTCGTTCAGGTTGTTTTCGCATTATGGCAGAGCCACACGTACAATGGTAAATGGACTGAACTTATATAGCTCCTTTCTATCCAAACAAGATACTGAAAGTGCTTTACACTACAATATTTGCCATCATTTACCCATTCATACCATTACCCATTATTAGACAATCTATGATAAATGAATAGGTCATCAATAAATACATAAAATGTGTATTTTATGTCTTTGTTCAACTATGAGCTCCCTGAAATATCAATATTAACTGACGTCAGTGTAAGTCTGTGTTTTGGTAATAACACTCACTTGGACACCAGGGAGAAGGCTTCGGCGCAAACGGCGGGACACGGCACCAGCTTGATCATCACGTGCTCCGACGCTGCCTGGAAATGCGCCCGCGTCACCTTCTCAAACACCGAGGCCAGCGTGGCCACGTCGCCGGCCTTTGTGCTGGGGTCTCCGCCCGCTGTGTCCAGGATGTTTCCGCCGTGCACCACGAGGAGCAGCACATGGGTTTTACATTTCCTCTACAAAAAAAGGAGTGGGATGGAGAGACACTTTAAAGCAGGAAGGGAAGAACAGAGGTGGCGTTTTGTGACAGCGGTGGGGCCACACAGTGAGCTAAATTACCAAACTCCTACCTCTGCATCATCCAGCCCTTCAATGCTGCTCTGAGGAGCGCAACGAGGACCCCCCAGCTGGCACAGACCCTCTGTGTTAGAAGAGTAAAGAATGAGAGCAGAAGGTGGCAGGAAGGAAGGAAAAAAGGAGGAAACTCAGGGTCACTGCAGGTGCTACACAGCGATAATAGGAGCATAAATGGATATTGATCAGAGAATATAGTCATTAATAATGCCTCTTCATGTCTCTTTATTCCAGTTTCAAACTGTGTAGTGGCTCTGTGTAGCCCCCCAGGACAAAATGGAGTAACGGTACATTTCAGTCAGTACAGGCAGAGAGCAGCAGGAGCATGATTGTTTTCTCTGCTGCAGCTTCTACAATCATATGTAAATAGATTTCATCTCATCTGATGCAGCGAAGAACAAACTTGTCTTCAACCGAACAAAAACAGAGTCCTCTTTCTGTGAGCTCCGGCTCCTCGGAGAAACCGGGTCAAATTCATTAGCCAATCTGGAAGCCTCTGCATGCTGTGCCATCTTGTTCCTGAGCCCTTTCGGGCCTCTCGTTCTGCTTTCCGTCTGCAGGCTCGGGGCACGCCTCTGTGCCTCGCTCACTGGCTCGTTGTTTATTTGGCCTCCTTGTCTGGGACCGACCGTCATGGGAGGCTCTCGCAGACTCATTCGCCGCCGGCTCTGTTCTTCCACTCCCAGCTTCCAGTCTGCCTCCCTACACCCCCACTACCCCTCCTCCTCCCCACTGCTTGTCTAGAAACAGAAAAAGCTCACACAAGGGACTCTGAACACAGAACTATTTTTGGTCACAATGTAACAGGAAATCAATGCAGGGCAGTTTTCCTCCTTTTTTTTAAATCTGAAACACTGAAAGGAGAGAGAGCAGGAAAAGTTTCATCAAACACCATAGGATATATTTGCTTAAACATGTATAGAGGAGGAATATTATAACGAAAAAAAAAAACTGCTTTGTTTCATAATAAGTCGCCACAGATATGATAATTTGATCAATATTTACATTAACTTATGTGTTTTTAGTCCTTACATTGTAAAATATCAAAGTCACGTCAATGTAGGGCTGCACGGTATTAGAAAATCTTGCAATGGCAATAACATTTGTAATTGTTGTGATGACGATATCAGGTGCGATATATGGTAGGGCTGGGCTATATCATATCATTCACGATAATACCGGTAAAAAAAAAACTTGCCCGGGAAAATAAATTATATCGTGATATGCTAATTTCATGATCGACGCAATTTGCTCATGTCGGAGAACCTTTTTGTTTTCTGTTGCGGTCTCGCTAAAGCAGCCCAGTCCGTTTAAACAGACGCTGCTTTCTACAAATCAAACGAACCCCACATCTTTATCCAATCAGAGCAAAGCAATATAAGATCATTTTGAAATAAATTTTTATTTTAATAGAGAAATCAGTCAGTCTAACAAATAAAAAATGTAGCTAAGTTATTTTGTGCAGCACAAAATACATATTTGGTATATATTTTAAAATTCGAAATTATAGGACATACATACATAATGTGTTTGCACTGAAAAGTTATGAAGATGGTTAAATGATTGCATGACTATATCTGACTCAAGTCTTGCCAAAAATGTCCATCCGTCCGTCTGTTTTCTGCCGCTTATCCGGCGTCGAGTTGCGGGGGCAGCAGCCTAAGCAGAGAGACCCAGACTTCCCTCTCCCCAGCCACTGGGGTCAGCTCATCCAGGGGAATCCCAAGGTGTTCCCAGTCCAGCCGAGAAACATAGTCCCTCAAGCGTGTCCTGGCTTTGGTCCAAATGGTTCAGGTTAAAATTTTTGTATAATGCATCATTAGAGAATACTAAACTGTGTACTTTGACTAAGAACATGGACACAGTGTATAGTGTTATGACTACACTGTGTACTCGTGTGTGGTGGGTTTGGTAAGAGTTATCGTGCATTTATCATTATCGAGGTGAACTGGTCAATATATCGTGATATTGATTTTAGGCCGTATCGCCCAGCCCTAATATGGCTTTTCTTTCCTTCACTCCCCTTCTCATCTGTACTTCCTACTCTATGTGACCTTCAGTATTTTTTGTCAATGTCACTGGATTCTGTCTGTTGTGAGCTTTTGCTGCCTTGAGGCTAAATATATATATATAAAAATTACAACTTCTTTAATGAGTATGACTAGTGCAAATATAAACAGCAGTGTAAATTGAATGAACACAGACATTTAAGGCGATTAATCCAGATCCAGTTTTTGGTTAGTTATATCCAGTGAATGTAGCAATAGATTCTCTCCCATGTCTCCTGATGCGGAACGTTTTAGTGAGGTGCAACAATCTGTTATGATAAAGAAAATACAAAATAATAATTAAAAAAATACAGATCTGGAACAGAAAAGTGAATAACGCTGCTGTAACAGATGGGTTCTGTTTTACTGAAAACCATATTTTCTCTATGAAAAATAAATCTGGTTTTGTTTTGTGATTAGTTGCATTTCGAACTTTGATATTATTTTTCATTTAAAAAATTGTTTAAAAAAACTTAAACTTAACGGCTTCATTATCATTGCAAGTATAATGTTTTACGTCCGTGTGCCCTATTTCAGTCATATCATGTTTGATAGGCACATTTTAAAAAGCAATTTCTGATTTTTGTCACTGATTGGACTAGACGTCACAGGACTGAACACACTCATGCAAACACTGTTCGGATAAAAGCTCTGCAGGTCAGGAGCGATGTCGTCCTAAAAAAAACCCCACAGTGGCTGCAACAAACAGCTGCATTTAGCAGGTAAGAAAGGAAATAGCAGAGCTTTAGTCACTTTATCATTTGTGAAAGCAGCACACATGCTGGGCTCCTCCTGAGCCCAACGTCAAGTGAGGCATTTGGAGAAAACTGACTAAATTGTTATTTCTATTGGCGCAGCACAGTGGTATAAACTGCCTTCCTGTGGTTTGGACCATGTCAGTTTTCACCCCTGCATAATCCGTCTGCATCCCTGTTTTTATTTCTTATGCTTGTACTCTCCTCCTCTCAGAGGTCTGAATCCTGCCACTCAATATCTACTTCAAAGCTTTATTTACTTTATTTATTTACTGCTCGCTGTACTTAAAGCTTTTCTATTTAGAGAATCTCTACTTGCTATAATTTTCTCCCAACAAAAGTGACCTAACCTACAAATCTTTCTGACAGTGCCATAGCTCAGCAGCACCACTTCCCTTGGCTTAAAGGCCGGTCAGGTGAATCAGTCTGTTGTCACACAATAGTCTGATGTACATCACAACTAAGCTACAAGTGTGAGGAAGAGAAAATTGACCCCAGAAAAAGGATTGCGAAGATGAAAGGGCTCAACAAAGAAGTCTACAAGAGTTAAAAGATGGACTATTGATTCATCCTGTGAATCATTCGGTCAGAGTAGCTATGATTGATAAAAAAAAAAGTTTTTTTCGTCTATAGCATGCAGACTTTCTGTTTATTTCCCCGTGAATCTCCCTGCTCTGAAGTCTCGACCACTTCCACTACACTTCCACATTTATCACCTTTTGAATGAGCAGATGGGGAGGAAGACAAGAGCAGCGGGATGAGAGCAACAAGCAAAAAGGCTGCATTCATCAAACATAAGATTGGCTTCCCGGCTGCAGATTTATATCTTCCCTGGGACTAGAAAATGGCAAAATAACCTCCAGGTTTCCTGGCTGCTGGCGTGTGAATCAACTCATTAGAGAGCTGCAGAGTCACAACACATTATCTGTGTTGCTGGGTGGACAGGCAAAGAAAACAGCTGCATTGTCTTTCTGCTGTAAAATGATGTTTATCTTAAAATCTTCAGTTTGCAGAAAGCTGTGCATTCCACAGCAAGTGTGAACGATTTATAAGTGGGTTTAACTACAAAATACTAAAGCAAACTGTTCTTTTACAGTACTTTGGCAAAACAGTAGATATAGCGTATTTATGTTGAATCAAGAACATCAGTTTGGAGCGGTCCTTATCGTGCCTGTGACGTCAAATTTTTGTAATAAATATAAATCATTTTTTGGAAAAATAACATTGATAATATACTGTATTGCAAAAATAATTTGACACTGCTGAGATGAACAGTTGTTAAGATATTCACATGAAGTAACAGTAACCAAGTATTAAGATAATGGCCAACAACAGAGACAGTAGAGAAGAATCTGATGTTTCTTTAGATTATTACAGTATGAGTCACTATCAGAGAAAGATTAAGAAGAGTCAGGGTTCAAATAATATTGTTTCGATAAACAAAGACCAGGGAGTTTTCTTTCTTAAAGAGATCCCCTTCCTGTTTCACTTTAGCTACGCTAGTTATAAGACAAACTGGGTAAAATTGTGAGTTTTATGTTAAGTTTAAATCAGCTAAGTTGCTAAACTTACATTTAAAAACTAATTCTTCAGATAAATTTCTAAACTATGCCAACTCAACAAAAAAAAAACTCCACCGTCTTCGTTTCTCTGTTAAGTTTGCTGTTGGTGCTTTGAATCCTGGGATATCCTCAGCTGGGAAGGATACTCTGATGCATCCTTGGTTTTCGAGATTTTGTGGGCCGCATTCCTCGGCCACATGAGGAGGAGCCTTCGAATTGGGACAGCACTCGGTGCGGGACAGTGATGTACGCGGCCAACAAATGCGCACTCATGAGGATGCGGCCCATGCATTAAGACACAGCCACCGAGTGCAAACAGGAAGTATTTCTGGCATTTAAAACACATGAAGTCACATGACCTTATGATGCACATGGCAACTTAAAGCAACCTTGGGGGGGCGCCAGAGAGCACAAGGCCCAAAACCTTGTCTGCTCAGAGGTTGTGAAAATATCGATTTATTGTTTGCATATATAAAATCACCAAAATAAGTCCATTTTAATAATTAAGTCTGTATAACTCAGTTCTTATTTTATTTTATTTTCCAAATAAAAGTTTGTAACTGTTAACTTTATTCTTTTATTCTTTTAATAAAAAGTTAAAGGTTAAATGCATCTTTGGGAGACGTGGGGTAGTGAGGGATTGTGTGGGGCTCGGTTGGGCTTGGAAGTAAGAAAGCGGGGCTTTGAGGAAAATAGGTTGGA